GCCCACTTCAAGCCAGGCATGCTGTTCCCCTTCCACCGCTGCAGCAGGCCTGCTTCTCCTCTGGCTTGGGCTTGGTTCTCCTCCATCCCCACACTGGGCCAGGGCCCACTCCCCCCTTCCCTTCCCCTCCCCCTGTCACTCCCCCTCACATTAGACCCAGGCCTGGGCCCGCTCCTCCCCTCCCCCTGTCACTGCTGCATTGGCCCGGGCCTGCTTCTGCCCCCCACCACCACGGTGGGCCTGTTCCTCCCCCCACCCCTTGTGCCAGGCCCAGGCCCCCTTCTATTTTGGGTCTGGGACCACTTCCCTGTTCCCTGCCACAGCAGCAGGGGGAAGGTAGGAGCGTGTGCAGGCCCACTCACCCCTTCCCCGCCTCCATGGCGAGCCCTGCAGGTGGAGATGACAGAAGTGGGGGAGGAGTGGGCCAAGGCCAGTGCCAATGGCCTTTTCCCCCCCACAGCATCCTGATCCCGCTCTACCCCCGTGCTATAGCTGCCATTACCTCCAAGGAGCAAGGGGGTGGGGCGAGGCCAGCTCCAGTGGCCTCGCCCCCCCTCCACTCCATCATCACCACCTGCAGGGAGCAGGCCTCGCCCCACCCCTGTTCCATCTGCTCCGCTGCCGCCACCTCCTGGGAACGGGGGAGGATGGGCTAGGTCAGCCTCCATCCCCTGTGTCCCCACCATCATGGTGGCGGGCTGCCACCTGTCCGAATGCTTCTTTGTGTTCTGATTGGCTGTTTTTCAGCCAATCAGAGCACCTAAAGCATTACAGACAGACAGACTTAGGCTTTTATAATATTAGAATAGCTAAACTGAAGAGTACTCAACAGATGTATGCACCATTCCCTCTTACAACAGTGATAATGCTGCATAAAGGAATTACTTAAGGTCACCTGGTTAGTGCACTAGGCCAGAAGTTCCCAAACTTTTTCTTACTACGTACCCCTTTTCAGATTCACCAGCTGCCAGCATATCCCATGACTGAAAGAGACTTGGGGGTCATGATTAACCACAAGATGAACATGAGCCACTAATGCATTACCGCAGCTGACAAAGCAAACAAAACTCTGGCTTGCATCTACCAATGCATCTCAAGAAAGATGTC